CAGAGCGGCACAATGACCGTCTCGCTCGGCTGCAATCTCAGCTTGGCGAAAGTCTCCAGTCTCTCAAAGACAGGATCGGCGCGCGTTAAACTTCCAGGCGGAGCTGCGCAAGCCCCGCATCGTCAGCACGTCCTTCGACCGCCCCCGTAGCGACGACGACGATGCCTCCGCCTCCAGACGCGCATAAAGCGGGCCCATCGCTATGGTCCACACCGAGCCTGACAGCGGGCAGCCCTGCATTGCGCCTGAGCGAAAATAGAACATAAACTGCGCAGAACCTCGCAGACTGGCGATGCTGCGAGGGGCAAAATGAAGTGACGCCCTGAGGTTGAGGCGCCCTGGCGCCCTGGCGGCACTCCAAACCTCTCGAGAACTTCCCGCGGGCAGTCGTGGCCGAGGGGCGGCCGGGCAGCTGCAATGTCGAACGCTTCAAAGACTGGGGCCTCCACTGCAGCGGCCCCGCTGGCGCTAGCAACTCGATCCGCTGCGTCGAGCTGCAGCGCATGGCGGGGGAAATGGCGGCCAGGCGCAAATCCCTGCTGAGCTCTGCGCGTGCGTGCGCGGGCTGGTTCGCCGCAGAGGCCAGGGCCATGGCTTCCGTACTACGCGAAGAAAGAATCCGAATGTGCGAGGGGCCCCCAACGCACTCATGGGCGTCCAGGGGCTGACTTCCTTTGGGCAAGAAGGCGAACAAGGAGTCGTTCAGGGGCTCTGGTGCGCGGTCGCCGGCCATGAAGTGCTGGGGTGGCCCGTGGAGGACGTCGAGCTGCACCTCAGAGACCATCCAAGCATTGTAGGGCGGCCTGTCGGGGGCAAGTGCGCCGCGCCGCGCGCGCTCGAGCGCGTTCTGTAGATCAAAGGCGCTCGAGGCCTCTTGGCCGGCTATCTCGCAGGCTGGGCGGCGCTGCTACGGCGATTGATGCCCAGCCGGCCGGCCGGTTGAATCCGAATAACCGCGGACCAATGATTGCGGAGAGCCTCCAAGATCTCCGCGGGGCCCCGGGCGACCGCGCCCTGGGAATCCGAGAGGGGGGGGCCGGGTTGAATCCCCGCAAGAACCAGGCGACGCCCGCGTGGTCTCCACATAGTAACGCGGCGGCGGATAGCCTCGACAGAATAAAAATGTCGAGCTGCTGCCTGGCGCACCCCAGCGCGAAGCGCACTCTGAGCGGCTCGAGCTGCAATGCGATGAATAGCTTGTAACTCCGCTGAATGCATAGAACGACGCTGTCGGCTAGAGGCGTCAGCACCATGGAGAACCACCCGTGCATTCTAAAGCGCAGGGCATCGCGCGCCCTCGTCCGCGCCGGATATGAGAAGCGAAGCCAGCTGCGCATTCTGTCGCTGGCCAGCCCGAGAAATACTCTTCAATGCGACATTGCGCCAGCCTCGAGCTCGCCTGTCTCCTGCGCGAGGAGGGGGCCGCTACAGCTCATCTCGCGCGTGCATGGCCGCCTCCGTCACGGACCCCTCCACGAGCGCCCACTGGAGAACAAGCGAGAACCTCTGAAAATCAGCAGCCGCGACCAGCCCATCGAGTATAACCTTATACCTTACGTCCGGGACGCCGCATCAGGGATGGAGTGGTCGGCGGCGTTTTCTGGGGTCTTGTTCCGTAGCGCGAGATGCAGCGTCGAATGGTCGCTGGGCCTGCCCTGCGACATCCCCATGGGATCCGCATCCACGTCGAGAGGAACATCCGCATCCAGGAGGAAGCGCCCTGGAATCGCAATGGGCGCCCTGTCAATCGCAGACGCCGCGTAGTGCTGTCGACTGAGGTGTGGAAGGATGTCCGCTCGCACTTCCTGGTCCTGAGCCAGATCAAAGAGCGCCCCCCCCCCCCACACCAGAAAAAGAAAACTTCACTCGGCTGGTGCGACCTGGCCGTCGGCGACGGCGTTGTCATCGGCGTCGGCTAAACGTGCCTGAGGGGGCTCTCCAACGGGAATGTTGAATTTCGCCCATAGCAATTCAAGTCCCGCGCCGTGTCGTCGCGTTTGCTGTCGGCCGCGTTCTTTCGCGCATTGGCAATCGCAGGCTTGAGCTGCGGCGCAATGTTATAATTGCGCACGCCCATGAGCTTCGTGGGGCCGCGCCCGCCAGGGCTATCAACATGGAGGACAGGCACTCTGCCAGGAACAAGAACTTGAAATTGAACGCGAGGCCGCTGCTCGGGAGGAACAGTTCGTGGCCCTGGATGTAGACACGCCGCGCCACCCTCGCGGACATGCTCGGCTCGCGAATGCCGGGCCTTGCAGGGAAACGGGGTGGGCCCAATCAGCACCTCGCGTCGTTGACGCGCGCCATGCGTCTCCTGCAGCCCGATGAGCGCGCCGCGCTTCATGCGCCTCTCAAGACGGCGAAGTTCATTGCGGAGCCGCCGAGCACGCTGGCAACGCAGGCCTCTGGTACCCCATGAAATCAACTGAGCAGACGCCGTGGGAAGCACCTGCCAGGGGCGCCAGCGGGCGTTTAATCTACCACATTAAAACATCCATGGCCCATGGCTCGAAAGAGCCGCTGCAAATCCGTGCCGATGGGTTGCTCGTCGACCCCGATCCTGTTGATGGCGGCGCCGCCCCACCTGAGCCGCGTAACTGCATTCGCGTCGTCGCCGGCTTCGAAAGGAGATGGGGGCGGAGTCGCACGATATGATCCCCTCGTCGCCCACCTTACGAAAGAAATGACCTGCTTGTCGCTCTCCGAGAAGTCGGGCGATTTTCTTGATCTGGAAATCGCGCCTGAGCGTCTTGGGGCTCTTGTCCACGTTGATGTTAAGCGGGGTGGCGGCCCCGTTGGTGTTGTTGGCCGAATAGGGCCCACCCCTGACCTCCGTGTCGGAGGTTGCGAGCAATCGAGATGCTGCGCGAGGAAGCCGCTGCGCCGCCGAGTACCCCGATAAAGAAGCGCCTAGACGGAACGTTGCCCACAAACTCCACATCTCATGTTGCCACTCCCGCAGCTGTGATCCACGGCTCCAAGGCTCATCGCACTTCGGATGGCTGTGCTGTGGAGGGCCCGCCACTTGCGTGGAGGCGGGGGTCTGGCGGGCGATCCCAAACCGCGAGCGCTGCCATGTCCACGGGCGGGAGGGTGGCCTCCGCCATGGACAGGCTGGATGCGCTCGACGTCGGAGCGGAGCTGCTCCTGCTCTTGCTCGACCACGTAGGCGCGCTGGTTGAGTTCCCGAAACGTGATGTCCAGGGCGTCGAGGCGGTAGTCCGGCTGGCGGACTTGGCCCAAACCGGTCTGGAACTCGTTGTGGAGCGTGACCGTGGCATTCTGCATGATGGAAGTTGTTTCCGCCTGGAGCCTCAAGGTAGCCAGCTGCATCTGTTCTGCGAAAAAAATTGCGAGCTTGTCCTCAAGCGAGACTGGCCCAGCACCTGAAGCTGGCAGAGACCACCCCACTGGTGTATCTGGGAGCGTGGCGGAACCAGCCACTGGTCCTGGAGCGACACAGTCCAAATCCCGAAGCGGATCTAGAGGCCGAGGACGCTCGGAGTCTGGGAACGTAGCAAAGCTGTCGATCTTGTCCGCCAGCTGCTGCTCATCACGCCGTTGTCGTTGCATCTGCTCCCGTCGAACCAGCGATGCCGCACCTCCTGAACTGCCCGCGCGCCCTTCCGTAGGGTGTGGGCCGTCTCGTTGGTGTTGCTTGCGCTCTCTCGGAGCACGCCCTTGTCGGTCTCGCCGCGGTTCTCGGCTAGACACGGGTGTCGTAGAAACCTCTCGCCGCTGACCCCTATCGCTACGCGAACCACTGGCCCCTGCGTGTCAAAGCCGATGGGCCCTGCGAGGTGGTCTCGTAGGACTGAAGGACGAAGAGCTGGACCCCCGTGCCGCTGCGCGAAGCCATGCTGAAGACAATTGGCGCCGATCTGCATATGGAAGGTGTCCGTCCGCAGAGCAGCACGGAACATGTGGGATGCTGAAACAGCGATGCTATGCGATGATATGGACAGCGAAACGTTGGGACGCGTAGCAACTCACCCCTGGTTGTTGCTGGAAGCACATGGGCCAAAAAGTCGGGACGATTGGATGGGAGCTTACCCTGGTAGGGCAGTTATGAAGTCACCATCTTGGCCTTGATGACGAGGACGAACATGATGGTGATGCTGATGATGATGAGCTTTCAGATAATAATGGGCATGATGATGACGACGATGCTGCTGGTGATGATGATGATGATGATGATGATGATGATGACGTTGATGATGCTGATGATGTTGGTAATCATCATCAGCATGATCACGACCATGACAACGATCAGTATGATCATGATGATGAGAAGTAGGAGGCGCAAGCAAAGAAGATGCGGAGTGAAGGCGCACATATCACGTAACTCTCCGTCGCGTGGCAAACACGCGCACTCCACAATGCCCCCGCATCAATTTGCTGGGGTGTGGACTCGGGAATTGGGGCCGACAGATCGCACGCGATCCTCTGCTTGCACCACCACCCCGCCCCGAGCGGGGCCTTGAGCGAGGGTCGGGTCCGACGAAATGGAGTGGTCAGCAAAAGGGGGTTAGCGAATCCGCTCACGTTGCTGATTTTCCCAGCGCCTCTTGGCGTGAGAGGCACCAATGCCCACCGGCGGGGCCCAAACCAATCGCATTCAGCAGAGTTCGCCCCCCCCTCGCAATCCCCTTTCGTCCGGCCCGAGAGAGATGGCCGAGACATCGCCTGCGGCCTCGAGCGAGGGCAAAGAAATCAGCTCCTCGATCCTCCGCTTCCGCCGCCACCCAGACCCGAGCAGGGCCGAGAACTCGTTTGCGATCCTCCGCTTCCACCACCTCTGGAGGCCTCCCGAGCAGATGGCGTTAGAGGATCACGCCGCATCGGCGACGGCGGAGACGTATCGGCGCCGTCGGCGTGAAGAAACTCTGGCTCCGCATCGAGCCGCATCGCCGATGTATCGGCGATGCTCGGCGATCCTCCGACCCCATCTGCTCGGACCCCATCTGGGAGCCCTGGAACCACCCCGCCCCGAGCGGGGCCTCGAGCGAGGCGGCCAGCATGGCCAGCAGGTCACCCTCCAGGCCCGCGGCGCACCCGGCCTCTGGCGGAGGCGTGGCCCTTGTCAGCTGGCTTTTCCTCCCCTCTGCGCCTCCTTCTCCTCCTCCGCCTCCCCCCCCGCCGCCATCCCCCGACAGCTTCGTGCCGTGACGACTTCGGCCTGAGCATTCGGCTCTCGAAAGCATTCGAGAGCGATCGAGCGGAAAACAGTCGACCTTCAGCGATTGCGGCTCTCCGGCAGCGCAGACGACCCGGCTCCGGGCCACCAGCGGCGTTCGGCCTTGAACGCCCGCGCGTGGGGCCGCCGGCGGGTCGACACGACATGAACCTACCGCACGCCTCCTCCTCCTCCTCCTCCTCCTCCTCCTCCTCCTTCTCCTTCTGCTCCTCCTCCTCCTCCTCCTTTTCCTTCTGCTCCACCTCCTCCTCCTCCTCCTCCTCCTCCTTCTGCTCCTCCTCCACCTCCTCCTCCTCCTCCTCCTCCTCCTCCTCCACCTCCTCCTCCTCCTCCTCCCACCTCCTCCTCCTCCTCCTCCTCCTCCTCCTCCTCCTCCTCCTCCTCCTCCTCCTCCTCCTCCCCTGAGATCCTGGCGTCGCCGATGTTCGTACCAGCTGGTTTCGTTTCAGACCTCGGGCTCCAGGGCCCTCGCAGCTCCACCCGCTCGAGGAATGCCGAGGGCCTTGGTGCAGGGCTCCCGGCGTGACTCCCCGCGACGCTGCAAGCGTTGCGCGATCTCAGTGTCCGACGCCTCTCCTATATCCGCCACCGTGCCCTGAAGCACGAGTCGGAGCGTCCTCATGTCACGTCCCTTCGAATTATCTGCGCTGCGATCTTCAGATACTCTTTCAGGAGCCCCCCGGCCCGGAATTCCAGGCGATCTCGGGGGGCTCCTGCGCGCTCCCAGGTGCTGCTAGGGGTCCCCGCGTGACTTTTCGAGAGGCCAGAAGAGTGTTGTTCGGGACGTGCATGTCCAACATTGCTTCAGATGGCCCCAGGGATCATCCCGGAGCCCCCTTGGGCGCCTTATGGGCCGAGTGAGAGGAGGGCGGCCCAAGAGGTCCAAGTCATGTGAAAATCCATTGGTTTTCGTATGGTTTTCGGGTTGCCGCCTTTTCGATCCCAAGAAGGACCCAAGAGGTCACCCAGGCAACCCCAAGAGAGGCCTACGATGGGGAACGTGAACTGACATACTGAGCCGCCCGTTGGTCTTCCCGCGTGATATGGTCCCCAGAGGGCCTCCAAGACAGCCAATATGGTCCAAGATGGCCTCCATGTTCGCCCAAGATGGTCCAAGATTGTCTCCAAGATGTTTCAAAAGCGGCGAAGACGGCCCAAGAGGCCCCCAAGAGGCCTGCAAAACGACCTCCAGGAAGGCCTGGGGAGGCAAACATCAATGTGTTTTCTTCATGTTGTTGAAAATGTTTGGTGCTTGCTTTTTTTCGGATGTCCGACGGCCCGAAACGGCCCAAGACGCCCCCAAGATGGCCCAACAAATTGCCCCAAAGGCCTCCAACATGGCCCCAGAACGGCTCAAAAGGCTCCAAGACGGCCCCAAGGGACTAGGACAATTATTGAGGCACCAGACAAACGGCTCCGACTCCCCAATTGGCCAGTCGAGGAGTCGGTCAGTCGGCCAATCGGCCAGTCGGCCAATCGGGGAACCGGCCAGTCGGCCAGTCGGGCTTGGGGCGATCTTCGGGGCCTCTTGGGCCGTCTTGGACGCTACTGAGACCTCAAAGGCAAATGCTGAAAATGCCCGCTTTCCCTGAGGGTATGTACCAAATGCGGCATTCTGGGGCCCTCTCAGAGAGCATCTTGCAAGTTTGTCGGGGCGTCTCGGGTGCCTCTCGGGCCGTCTTAGGCAATCTTGGGGCGTCGTCGACGCTAAGTGGGCTGAACATGTGATGGAAAGGTGCGCCCTTCTCCCCTCCCTCGTGTATTCCCTTCCCCTCCGTTGCCGTCCGCTTCCTTCTGTTAACACGCGAACCAAGTAATGAAGTAAGGACGTACATCAAAAATTGATAATACAAGTTCGGCCTCTGGGAGCCGTTTGCCCCCCCGAGACCCTCAGAGAGTGATCCGAGGATGACAAACAGACCCTCTTCTCTGTGTCCCCTCCTCCCTCCCGCCTCCCTCCTCCCTCCCCCTCCTCTCCCTCCTCCTCCTGCTCCTCCCTCCCCCTCCTCTCCCTCCACCTCCTCCTGCTCCTCCTCCTGCTCCTCCTCCTCCTCCTCCTCCTCCTCCTCCCTCCCCCTCCTTCCTCCCTCCCCTTCTCATTTCTCCTACCTCTCCCTGCTCCCTCCTGCCCTCCCTTCCCTCCTCTGCTCCCTCCCCGGAACCTCGGGGGCCTCCAGGAGACCTGTCCGAAGGGGGGTCAGAACATACAAAGGAGGTCCCCGTCCTGGGGGCCCGGACCAGGATCTCCCACACACACACACACACACACAGACACACACAGACACACACAGACACACACAGACACACACAGACACACACAGACACACACAGACACACACAGACACACACAGACACACACAGACACACACAGACACACACACACACACAGACACACACAGACACACACAAATGCACATATTTTCATCTAGGTACACATCTATTTATATATGTCTATATATGTATTACATACATGTATACACATACACATTTATATATAACTATGTATATGTGTGTGTGTGTCTCTCTCTCTCTCTCTTTCCGCTCTGCGAGGGTATTCGCCGGCCCAACGGGCCAGGGCGTGCTAAGATCTCCGGTAACTGGTTCACAGTATTAACAGTATTTCTAGTTCGCGCGCGCGGGGCGGCCCCTGGGGGTCCCCCGGCGAAAAGTACCCCGACCGCCGCCCGACCGCCGCCCGACCGCCGCCCGACCAAGTCTACTCAGAGATGGTTTTCCTTCTGGGTGCGGCCTCTCAGGCTCCCCAGAGCGCGCTCAGAGTGCCCCAAGAGGCCCCCAAGACTGCCCAAGAGGCCCCCGAGACGCCCAAAGAGCGCTCGAAGACGCCGAAGATGACCCCAAGACGGCCCAAAAGGCCCCCAAGACAGCCCAAGAGGCCTCCAAGACGCCCCAAGAGCCTTCCAAGAGGCCTCCGAAGAGAGCCCCAAGAGGCCAAAATCGTTGATTTTCATTAGTTTTTTCGATGTTTTTTGTGTTCTGGCTTTTTCGGCTTCCGGACGCTCCAAGACGGCCCAAGAGGCCCCCAAGACCGCTCCAAGACGGCCCACGAAGCTCCCAAGACGGCGCCGAAACGACCCAAGAGAGCCCTCAAGACGGCCCAAGTGCCGCCCAAGACGGACCAAGAGGCCCCAAGACGGGCCCAAGAGGGACTCAGGAGGGATACCGAGAACTCAAAAATGGAGCCCTCCGTCCCAGAAGGCGCCCAGGAGGTCCCAAAGAGGCCCCAAGAGGCCTCCAAGAGGCCCCAAGATGTCGCCAAGAGGCCCCAGGAGACTCCCAGGAGGCCCAAAAGAAGCCCCAGAAGGCTTCAAACATGTCTCCCAGGCGCCCCCGAACGGCCTCTCAACAGACCCCAAGAGGCCCCCCAAAGAAGCATCTTGACGACGACTCTATTTCGCCCCATCGAGAGACGACCCCCAGGGAACTGCTTCACCATCAAAACTCCCCACGCAACGCGTCCGAACGACACCCGCCCCCAAGAGCGCAACATGGGCAACGAACACACAGACAAAAACCAGCGATGCCATATCACGGGCCGGCGGAATGAGCGAAGCGATTCAATCTGTGTGTGTGTGTGTGTCTCTCTCTCTCTCTCTCTTTCCGCTCTGCGAGGGAATGCGGTCGGAATGAGAAGGCGCTACGCGCGCTCAGAATCATCGCTCACCATGATAATGTCTCGGGAGACGCGGTCGAGTGACATCCAACACGACAGCATTGCATCAGAAAATAAGGCCGCTGCTCGTACGTATACCCACATTAGCCGTAACCATGTCACGACTTTCGCTCGGAATTGGCATCAATCATCTTCGTTGTGCCTGGCTGGTTTCCGCCGTGGGTGGTGTACCGACTCTGGCTGCACATTTCTAGTTTTCGCCCCCCCAGTTACCACCTGCTGCGATTATATTGTGACATGGTTCCAGATCGTTTTCGAGCTGGTTCCCAACACCTCTCGGACCCCAAAATCCCCAAGACCTGAGCTCAAATTTCGGGGATCTTGTGAGCCCCCGGTGGATGTTTCGTTTCCGCTCTCGCTCAAAACTGTGATCGGTTGCTTCCGCCACGTTGATCTCCTTCGCTTCGCTGAGCCACCCTGTTACCGCGTTCGCCTTCAGGAGGGAACTTTCCGAAAAAATGCACCAGAGAAAAAGAACCGTTAAAGAACCCAATCAGTGGATGGTTTTCGCTGAGGAGATCGACCGGGAACCCGGGAACCCGGGAACCCGGGAACCCAAAACCCACCGAAATCGGCCCAGAACCAATAACCGGGAACCCGGGAACCTGGAACCGGGAACCCGGAAACCCAGCCTGCTACCAAAATCGGCGGAAAACTTTCCCCAAATCTTCCAATTTCTGCTAGGACCCCTTCAGTGCAAACACTGATTGGGGAACACTGGGCCATAGCCATGACGGGCAACCTCCGACTTTTCCCCCCCCCTTCCCAGCACGGTGCCCGCCTTCCCCATCCCCCCGTCCGTTCCTCTTCCGTGGCAGCCTGGGCGTGCCCGTGTGCGGGGGAGACATCGTGCAGCGGAGCTGGGAAAAACATGTGGGAGAGTGCGCGAAGGCAGGCGTCGCTCGTCTGAGAATTCCCCTGGAGGCGCCTCGGACACTTCACCCTTCCCCTTCCTTCCCCTCCCGGGGGAAAATCAGCAGGCCGCAGCCTTCTCCGCCAGCGCCGCCACCGCCCCGTCGATGCTCGCGGCCAGCTCGGCCGCGCCAGGCGCCGGCTCCACGGGCGTCTGGCGGCGTCTCCTGGCATCGGCTGCTCTCTGGCGTGGGGGGGGGGGGAGGCAGGGCGGGCAGCCGCCGTACTGCCCTGCGCGGCTGGATCGTTCCCGCGTCGGTGACGCGAACGTCTGCTCAGCAAGACCGCCCGGCACGCGCTGCGATTGCGCACTAGTTCCACCAGAACATCATAGCGGCCGGGTTCGCTCCACACCTTTCTGGCCCAGCTTTCGGGGCTCTCTGGCGCCAGGGCGAATGATGATGACCGCGAAACTTTCACATAGGCCGCCACGGCTGGATAATCACGGCAGGCGCCTGTAATCTTGAGTCACTTGTGCTAGCGGACGGAATCTCAATCTGTTAGCCAGCGTGGATCCCGAGCAGGAAGCTATTGCACGACGGACGTGTAAGCTGCGTGGTGCGTTCTACGTGGTGCAGTCTTCGTGGTGCCAGCTATGCGGTAGAAGCTACGTGTTGCTATATATGTGGTGTAAAATCTGTGGTGCAAGCTATGTAATGCAAGCGCTGTGGTGCAAGCGATGATGTGCAAATCACTTGTGGAACTCGCAATTGCAAACCCCACTGCTCGCGCAATCATCCCACCCACCCACCAACACCTTGGTTTGCAAAACCCAAACGGTGGCAAATGCGATGAATGTTTGGCGTTGGCTGGTGCATCTCTGCGGCTGCTCTAGACCGTGCGTGCTCGCGCGCACAGCGGCCAGCTAGCTGGGCGCGACAAACGCGGCTGTGGTGGCGCTGACCGCTGACCGACGCGGCCGCGGTGGCGCTGACCGCGGTGCGAGTCGGCGACTTGAGCGGGCGCGGTATCATAGAAACCTCGACAACAATAGGCACGATGATGATAGCTGCGATGCCGAAATCAACGACGGACAGGCCACTGACGGCGCCGATACTGATCACGTCGACCACGATGACGGCGTCGTCGCGTCGGTGGTGAAGATTTTGGATGGAATTCGACATGCCCGGCCGACGCGCGAAACTGGCCCGCATGGTGTTATTTGACACGAATCGTGAACCCCCCGCACGCGCGCAAGGGCGTTCGAATGATTTCGGCATGCGGCGCGAGGAGGCCCGTTCGGCAGAATTCCATGAACAGGTTGAACACCGATTTTTATTCATGTATGTCTTAAATGCATGTATGTATATATATATGTATGTATAAAGAGCCCGCAAGAGCGCGAGCGCAGGTTTTTGTTGAACACCGGTGTTGCAAAAGCAACGGTTGTTGTATGTGTTGTTGGATACTCGGTTTTGAAATCCTTACGTAACCGACAGCTGTTTACTGATTTCGGCATGCGCACGCGACGACACGCGCGCACTTCGTCTTATTTGTTGCAAAAAACGGTTTTCGCGACAGCATGCGCCCAAAGGACGTTCGAACCATGTCGACGTGCGCGCGCGAAGCCCGCTTGGTTGCATGTAATTAATTTGTCATTTGAATAAAACAAAAAACACATAGGTTTTCTGAAGAATTCGCAAAAAAAAACGCGGGCACAAGCTTTTGTTTGGAAATCCGTGTTGCGAAACCATATGGTTTAAACTTTGTCTTGGGCACGCGATTTTGAAATCCCTACGAAACCCAAGGTTGTTGAAAGATTTCGGCATGCGCGCGCGACGACGCGCGCGAGCGCATTTTTTCCATTATTTGCAAGGGGTTCTTGGAAACTGCAAATTCTTGATAAACGAATGCGCGCGCATACCATTTGTTGCAGAAGACGGCGGGGGGGGTCGATGCCGGCCCGGCTGGGATCCCAAAGGAGGTGTCGAATCGATTCCCCTTCCAGTAAGGAACTATATGTGGTGCAAACTTGGTGTTGCAAAGTATTTGGTGGAACCTGTGGTGTCTACCTGCGATGCTGGCAATGGATAAGAAAGCGTGCGATCAGGAATCCAAGGTCTGGAAGTCAGTGGAACTCCAATCGCAGGTTGGCCATGGATATCACAGCCGCCCTCATCAAATAAGGAACCCTCCAAGGTCTCAAGCCTCCTGGGCACATTCCATGACCAACGCCCCCGCAATGTGTGGTGCAAACTTTGAGGTGCACGATGCGTGGTGCAACTTGCGCGGTGGAGCTTTCTACGCAGCACCGCGCTTGACCACCTCCCATGGTATGGAAAAAATCCCACCCACCCACCCGCACCTTGGTTTGCAAAACCCATACGTTGGCGATTGCGATGAACGTTTGGCGTTGGCTGGTGCATCTCTGCGGCTGCGCTAGCCCGTGCATGCTCGCGCGCACAGCGGCCAGCTAGCTTGGCGCGGCCGACGTGGCCGCAGTGGCGCTAACCGATTGGCAGTTCTGAGCGAGCACTTCTGCGCGAGTCGGTGACTTGGGCGGGCGCAGTATCATGGCGACGCCGGCAACGGTAGACACGATTATGAAAGTAGCGATGGTGACGAAGGTGGCGATGACGACGCCAAGGCCAATGACGGCGCCGATGCTGATCACACCGACGACGATGACGGCGTCCTCGCGTCGGTGATGAAGGTTTTGGAAGGGGCTCGACATGCGCGCGCGGCCGACGCACGAGAATAGCCGCATGGTGCTATTTGACACGGATCGTGCCCCCACCCCCCGGCACGCGCGCAAAGGCGTTCGAATGATTTCGGATGCGGCGCGGGAGGCCCGATTGGCAGAATTCCATGACAATTTGAAACAAACCTATTGTTTCCTGCAAAATTCGCAAAGAGTGCGAGCGTAAGCTTTTTGGAAAACTGTGGTTGCGAAACCATGCATGTTTATATGTGTTTTTGGATACTCGGATTTGAAATTCTTATGCGCGCGCGACGACGCGCACGCGTGCACTTCGTCTTATTTTTGGCTAGGCATTATTGCGACAGCACGCGCGCAAAGGGCGTCCGAACGATTTCGACATGCGCACGCGAAGCCCGTTTGGTATAATTCCACGAACACATTGCCAAATCCATGGTCTTCCCAAGAATTCGCAAGAGCGCGCGCGCAAGTGTTTTTTCCATGTTGCGAAACCGTGTGTTGTTCTATGCTTTTGGACACGCGATTTTTGACATCCTTACGAAACCTAAGGTTGTTATAGAAATCCGGCATGCGCACGCGACGACGCGCGCGTGCGCATTTCGTCCATTTCTTTTGCGCTCGCATAATATATGTTGCAAAGGATTGCGGGGGGCCTCTGGGATGCTGCGAATTCATTCTTAGGATGGACGATGGGGTAGAAACCGCCCGACCCGACAAGCCCGTCAGTCCGCCCGCCGTGCACGCGTGCCCTCTCGATGACGCATCATACTTAAATGTCACGCCCCCCCGGCCCGCCCCGCCCGTCAGGACCGCCCGCCCGACCCGACAAGACCGTCAGTCCGCCCGCCCGACCCGTCCCGCCCGCCGTGCACGCATGCCAACTCGGTGATGCATCATACTTCAATGTCCCGCCCTCCCGACCCGCCCCGCCCGTAAGGACCGCCCGCCCGACCCGACAAGCCCGTCAGTCCGCCCGCCCGACCCGTCCCGCCCGCCGTGCACGCGTGCCAACTCGTTGACGCATCATACTTGAATGTCCCGCCCTCCGGACCAGTCCCGCCCGGAAGGGCCGCCCGCCCGACCGACAAGCCCGTCAGTCCGCCCGCCCGACCCGCCCCGCCCGCCTTGCGCGCGTGCCAACTCGCTGATGCATCATACTTGAATGTCCCGCCCTCCCGGCCCGCCCCGCCCGTAAGGGCCGCCGCCCGACCCGACAAGCCCGTCCGACCCGTCCCGCCCGCCGTGCACGCGTGCCATCTCGATGATGCATCATACTTGAACGTCCCGCCCTCCGACCCGCCCCGCCCGTAAGGGCCCCGCCCGCCCGACCCGACAAGACCGTCAGTCCGCCCGCCCGACCCGTCCCGCCCGCCGTGCACGCGTGCCATCTCGATGATGCATCATACTTGAACGTCCCGCCCTCCCGACCCGCCCCGCCCGTAAGGACCGCCCGACCCGACCCGCCTGCCGTGCGTCACGCGTGTCAACGCTGGACGCACAGGCTCCGATGAAACCGACCCCGGCTAAACCGACTCCGGCGATGAAACCGACCCCGGCGGAACCGAACCCAGCGACCGACCCCAGCGAAACCGACCCCGGCGAAACCGACAGCCAGCGAAGCCGACCCCAGCGAAACCGACAGCCAGCGAAACCGACCGCAGCGAAACCGACCTCCAGCGAAACCGACCCCGACGAAACCGACCCCAACCAGCCCTTCGCCCTCCTCTTCCTCCTCCTCCGCCTCCCCCTCCTTCCCGCACCCCAGGGGCAGGGCGCACGCTGTGCCCACACGCGCAGCGCCGGCGGCGAAGGGGAAGGCAGCGGGGAGAGGCGGAGCAGATCGGGGCAAGGGCGGCCATCATATCCTCCCTCCCCTCCTTTTGTTCGGTAGCCTCGTGCGCAGCGCCCCGTCGTGGTCCACGGGCCGCACGCGAGGAGCGCGCCCGCAGGAACAAGCAAGGCAAGGGAAGGGGCCCTGATTTGCACATCCCAGGAGGCGGTCCCATCCGCCCGTGGAGAACATCTCTGGGCCGGAAACTCATCCACCCTCCTCCCTCCTCCTCCTCCGACTAGGAAAACAAGTTCTTCAGTCCAAGTCGACTTCTGGCGGCCCCAGGGCCTATATTACACCAGAAAACCTCAATCAGTGGATGGTTTGAAAATTTGTGATCTGAATTTCCAGATATTGAGATCGCTTGTGAGATCGATAGTGAAATCGAAAGTGTAATCGCTTCTGGGGACGATTGTAAGGTCGATCGTGAGACCGATAGTGAAGTCGATGCAATGAGATCGATAGTGGGATCTATCGTGAGATCGCCCGTGCGATCTATAGTGAGATCGATTGTGAGATCGATCATGAGATCGATTGTGAGATCGATAGAAGAGATGGGTAGTGAGATCGATGGTGAGACCGATCGGTAAGAAGATCGAACAGGAACCCAGGAACCCGGAAACCCGCCGCCCACCGAAATTGGCCTGGTACCTTCGCCAAATCTTCCAAACTCCGCTAGGACACCTTCGGTGCAAGCACTGCATCAATGCGACCTCGCGAACAATATTGCAGCCTCGCCGGAAGTCTTGACCGGGAGCCCCAAGCCTTAAGCCACATCTGTCTGCGGCTCTCCCTGGTCCAGATCCATCGGCGAGGGCCCAGGGCCCGGGCCCACGCAGAAACGCCCGGTGTGGAAAGAAGGCAGCGCCAGGACCTCCAGAGAGATCTGGACACGGGCGCCTTCAGGCCGACACGGCACATCTCATGCAGGCAGTGCCCATGCAGACGGGATCGCCGTAAACGCTTGCCCCAAAAGGAAAGGTCAGGAGAGCTCATACGGACTCTGTGTTCACATCGGGATCCCTCCTCCTCCTCTTCCTTGCCCTCCCCCCCTAGAGGCCTCCTAGTGGGGTCGGAGTAGATGGGGTCGGAGGATGCATCGCCGACGTCGGCGATGCATCGGCAACGCGGACGTGGAGCAAATCGGGCCCCACATCGAGCTGCACCGGCGATGCATCGGCAATGCGGCGCGATCCTCCGACCCTCTATACTCGGACCCGCTCCAGGAGGCTTACAGACCCCCCCCTCCGCTACACGCAGGAGTGACCCTGGGTAAGAGCGACCTCTGGTGCGCGGCTTTTTGGGGGCCGCGGTGGGACCAAACACCGGCGCGCGAGAGGCTACTACAGCATCGCGTTTCTGCGATCGGGGGACCCCATATTGCGCCCGCACCAAAGGTCGCTCCGGCGCGAAAGGCCACTCTTATACGTCGAGTGGGCGCCCCCCCGAGACACTCCGCGCGGGCCCCGCGCCCGGGCGGCTCCAGGGCAGGCGCCAGCCCGGCCGCGCGGCGAGGGGCCGCGCCGCCCCCGGCGGGGGCTCCTCGCGGGACGCGGGAGGGCTGGCGCCGCTCCGGCAGGGCCGCGCCGCCCCCGGCGGGGGGCCCGCGGCGCAGCCTCCCCCCAGGCCTGCCACGAAAATCAGAGGATCTCGCCGTCTGCGACCTCTGGGGGGGCCCTCGCCGGGCCCCAGGGAGCGTCCGGAAACGGCTCAGGATGGAGAGCCAGCCCTGGGGATCAGGTCGGGACTTCCGGGGGCCCTGCATGGGAAAAAACACAGCACATCGGACCTCTGGGTCCCAAGATGGTCCCTCACTTCCCCTGATGTCCTATAGGCTGCAGCAATCTTGATCGTGCAGGGCGTTTTTGGTAAGGTTCGGGCCCCAGCCAGCCCAACGAATTACGCAAAGAGACGGGTCTGGGGCCCTGGTCGTGACTTCTGACGGTTCTATGTTTTTTCGCGACGTCGGGCATCAAGGCTTGGTGGTCGGGCGGATTGAATTTCTCAATCCCAGCGTTTCTCCCACATCTCGGCCTCGGGGGCCCGCCTTCAGGCATCCAAGCCAACTTGATATGGATGCGGCCGAAAAGCTGTCCCGTCATGGGGAAAGGGTCGGGACTTCTGAGGCCGCGGATTGATGCACAAATAATACATCGGATGGCTAAATACATCGAGGTTAGAGGCTGCAGGTTCGAGGGATGGCGCTCTTGGATGCTGCTCTGGTCCTTCTTGATCCTGGGAGCCCTCTTGGTATCTCTGGGGATATCCACGACCTCCAGGGATGTGTACGGACCTTGAAGTGGGGGCGGCGTGTAAGCAGACGGTGTTCGACGTAGTTATGTGTTGTTTTAATTGTCCTGTTCTGGCATCCCAGGGCCTGAACCCCAAGGTCCCGCTCTGAACCCGTTCGGCGTCTGAGCCCATGCTGCCGCCGAACGGACTCAGTTGCAACAGGGCGGCGGGAACTTGGCCCGCTGGGCAACCAAATGAGCTCACGCGCCGAATGGACTCGGAAGGCGCCCCTGGTCGGGGATCTTCTGACCCGGGTCAGTCAGGCCGTGTAGAATCCTGCAAAATCCTGTACCCAAACCCTGGTCAATGCGAAAGATCCCGCAAGATCCTGCAAGATCCTTCACCCAAACCTGGGTCAATGCGACCCTGGCCCTGCAAGATCCTGCAAGATCGGGCGCTCTGGCTGACCCGCGTTTGCATTGACCCCCGTCTCAAGGCTCCCGACCTGGGAAATATAGAGGCCTCCGGGGGCCCTCGGAGAGCCCTGGCACCGCTCGCAGGACGAGCATCCACAGGGGACACTCCCCGAGCGACACCGCTGGGCCATCGGACTCCGCGCCTCTCGCCGGGCGCTGTGCGCGATGCGCGGCCGTCGTCGCGAACTTCGCCCCTACCCTTCCTTGGGTCGGGTGTGTCTCCCTACAGGCGGATTTTGGTCGAAAGATAACTAAGCAAGAATCAGACATACTCCAATAATGCCCAAAACTAGTCAGAAGATCGTCCCCAGACTATGTTTGTGATATGTTTGCGTACTCCTCCTGTAGAGGGACGTGCCCGACTTAACCCTACATCCCCCCTCCCATACAGAACGACAACTCTCTGCCCAGACCGCACAGCGCGGTGCACCCCGTCGCCGATCTCTGCACGTGGCTCAGTTCGGGGCTTCCTACACTGGGATTCAGCTGAGCGGGGGCTCAGGCTTTTTCAGATTCCCCCCCCCCCGTGTACTGTGCCCCCGTCTATGGCGCCCAGGGCCCCCCAAACGGGGGCATGGCCAAACGGGGAACTTGGCGTTCCCCGTGCCCCCATTTGCCGTACCCCCGTGTCTGGCGCCCTGAGCAGTCTCGTTCCGCGGCGCCGCGGGGGGGGGGGGGGGGAGATGGCCTGGACACCTCGGCGTGCCATTACAAAACGAGCTGCGCCAAACTCCCAGGCGCTCCGGAGCGATCTCAGGCGTCTCCACTGGAAGCCTGCGGAGCCTAGAAGAACCCACTGGAAACCCCGCTGGACGAGCATCGTTGATCCGACCCGCATCCCCAGCGGCGTGGCCTGGGCGCCACTGGCCGATGTACCCCCCTAGATGGGGATATAGGCCGTTCCCTTCGGGTTTCGAGGGGTGTGTCCCCAACTGGGGCGGTAATGTGGCGGGGGGTCTCGAAGGGGGTGAGGACGGGGATGGCTCGGTTAAACGATGCTGATTGGACGCCCCTGGACCTCCCCTGGCACCCACTGGGAAGTCCCTGCCTCCCCCCGTCGCGCCCCTCCCCCTCGGCAAGTATCGTGTCGTCCTCCACTCCTCCCCGCTCCATGCAGCACCCCCCCCTTGGACGACAAACAGGTACGGCAGGTTCGTGTCGTGTCAACCCCGGCATTGGTTCCTGACACCGCGGGGGTTGTTCAACCTTGAGCGGTCGGCCGTTTCCGAAACGTCCAAATCGTTCCACATCGACCGATTCTGGGTCGCCCGCAGCGTTCAACGTTGAACGCCGCTGACCGTGTCGCCGCCGGTCGACACGATACGAACCTACCGTACCGATACCGCTACTCCCCGGGCCTCTCCAGGGGGGACCAGACTCCTGAGGCGAATCCAGCCGTGGCGACGAGGAAGGGCTACATAGCGGCATCCATGCTAACCTTCTGACCCGCGCAAAACTGCCCCGACCCTGCAGACGTGCTGCAGCGATTTTTTTTCGCGGATCTCTGCCAATGCAAAACCCCGAAGCGGCGAGTGAAAAACGAAGTGGATTTCGCGTGGGTTCGTTTTAGCCTTCATTCCTCGGGAGCGGCCAAGAGGGGGGTGTCCAAGAGGGGGGTGTGCAAATCATGACTGGCGGCATGTGCACGGCCCAGCGGGGGGGCCAGGGACGTAATGGAATAAGAAGAGGCGCCATGAAATCTGGGGAAATATCATGGCCCCCGCCATGATACCCACCCACCCCTAGTCACAACCCCCTCTTTTCCGCACCCGAATTCCTGGCCACACAAAAATCCGCACGAACTTCACCTCGAAATCCGGAACGACGTTCTCCAGGACACCCGTTGCCCACCCGATCGTTTTAGTCCGAACGAAATCCCCTCTGCGATGTTGCCGCCATGACAATCTGCCCCCCTCCAGCAGCGATCCTCCTCCTCCTCCTCCTCCTCCTCCTCATCCTCCTCCTCCCCCATTGAAGACGAAAACAGGTAGCGATGCAGCTGCTCCCCAGACCTCTCCGGGGGGGACCAGACTCCAGAGGCGAATCCAGCCGTGGCGACGAGGAAGGGCTCCATAGCGGCATCAATGCTACCCTTATGTTGTGCTGCTCCTATCGTACTTAAGAACCACATCCCAGAAATAATTTCGAACACCCGAAAAAATGTCGAAACAATGTCGAAGAAGTGCCGAAACGGTGTCGAACGAGTGTGTCCCAGGGCCCGACACGTGAAAACCCTGAAGTTTCGGTACTTTCTTGGTGCTCGAAATTCTAGGCTAAAGTAGGTTGGAACATCATAACCCTTCTGACCCGCGCAAAAGCTGCCCCCCCTCCAGCAGCGATCCTCTCGGAGGTACACCTCATGTCCTCCACCCTTCATTCCATGCATCACTCAGTGAACCTTTCATTTTGATATTTCAACCTCCCTCCAGCCGTGGCGACGAGGAAGGGCTACATAGCGGCATCCATGCTGCCCTTCTCGGGTCGGGCGAAAGGGGGGGATAGCAAAGGGGGGGCTTGAGAGTCAGCTCACGTAGGGCGGCCATGTATCGAGACATGGGCCCCTCGGTGAGGCCGAAACGAGCTGCATGCAGCACATTTCGTAACCCCCCCTTTCCCAATACCCCCCTTTTCGTCCGACCCGAGTCGTCGTCAGGGACCCGTCGGGGGGAACGGGAGGGAGGGGGAAGGGGGAGCGAGGAGGAGGAGGAAGAGGAGGAGGAGGAGGAGGAGGAGGAGGAGGAGGGAGGAGGACGGGGGGGGGAGGGGGAGCGAGGAGGAGGAGGAGGAGGAGGAGCAGGAGCAGGAGGAGGAGGAGGGGAAGGAGGAGGACCCGAGGGGTCCGGCTGGTCCGGCCCGCCCTTCTGCCCCGCGCCAACAGCTGCCCCCCTCCAGCAGCGGTCCTCGCCCTCCGCCGCTGGCGGCGCCAGCGCCCGCACGGCCGGGCCGCACGGGTCGGCGCGGGCGTGGCGGCACAGCGCCCGCAGCGCCAGGCGGCGCAGCGGCGCGCTGGGCGGAGGGGGTCGGCCCGCCCCCCCCGTAGGGGAACAACAAGTGGCATAAACATAACAACTCGGAGGTCCGCGCGGATTTCTCGGATCGGCTCTGGGGCCCTCCGGCGGCGCCTCCGGCGCCGCCCCTGGCGCGCTCCGCGCGCCAGGGAGGGGGGTCTAGCGCCGATCCGAGAAATCCGCGCGGACCTCCGAGTTTTTATGTTTCTGTGACCCTTTGATCCCCTACCCAGGGCGGCAGGGCAGGAAGAACGGAGCGGAGGGAAGGGGGACGAGCATCCCAGACCCCCTCGAAGAATAAAAAAAAATAACGACGGGATGGTTTTCACCATTTTCGGCCTCTTGCGGGCCCTTGCCGGGCCTCGGGACCGTCAAAAAACAACTCGGGGTGAAAAGCTGGTCCCAGAAAAACGGCGAAACCTCTGGGGGTCGACGTTGTGAAAAAATATTGCGTCGGGGGTCTGGGATGGATGATGCATCGACCGTGTCGCCCCAACATCGGCGTACATCCATTTCTGGCTTGGCCAGGGAGGTACACTAATTTACATGCACATGCACATTTGTACATCTACACACATCAGCATACACCTGTACATGCACACCCGAGGAATGCGCGTGCCCAAGCTCATGCAGATCGGGCAGGGAGGGAATCCATGGTGATGGGAATGTGTTCAGACGACGCCATTGTGTTTGCAAATGCGATCCGCAACTGTGCTGAACAAGTTTGCCTACACTCAAATGTGTAAACAAAGGCGACAAGCAATTGCGCTCAACAGGAATTCCGAAACCACTAGGTCACTGTATTGAACTAGTGACACGAAGTCGTTGGACGTAACTGCTTGTAGCGCGCCAAACAATAGCGCCAGTGATTGTCATTGAAATCATTGCAAACCAACTCGAACAATAGTACAAGTCTTTCTCTCGTCGTTCTCTTCCTTGTGCTGATATGACAGTTTCTTCTTGCTCGTTCTCAGCCTTCCTTGTAGACTGACAATGTTGTTTTCCGAACGACATTCCTTGGAATGTGATTTGGGAAACCTTCTAAAGCTTCTTTGGGGCCTCCAGGGGTCCACTGGAGCCTGTTTGGAAACACGTGAGGTCTTCTCGAGCGCATCTTGCTGCCAACCGCGGTTTCCTTCAACGAATGGACCCCGCGCTGGGGTGGTCTAGAACTCGCATTGGGGGTCATTTCGGGTCGTCATGGGGCTGTATCAGGGCCGTGCCGGGCTGTTTTGAGGCTCTCTTGGGCTCCCCTGGGCCGTCTCGATCAAATTGGGCCACTCTTACGGCGGTTTGGGGGGGCCTTCTGGGCGGTCACGGACCGCCAGAAGACAAATGAAGTGGGCTTTCGGAATTGTTCAATACACGTGAAATCAAAATAGCACCCTGCAGTTGCAAATCAGAGTGACGGGGCGGCGTGGTCGTCGGCAGTCTTCGAGGCTCTGAAGAAGCCCGCCGCAGGCGCCGTTTTGTATGCAACAAATTATGCAGCTCGAGCTGAAGATCCAGATCAGTTCGGTCAGGACTCGGATAAAGGAGGACTCGATCCACGACGCTATAGAGCACAATCGCAGCATGGCACATCGCAATTCAGCACGGCGCAGCACAGCACAGCCCTCGGCCAAGTACATCAAGATCGATACACTCAGCCTTGCATTTGCCCGTCACTCAATCAGGCGTCTTTGAAAACGTTGCCACGCGTTACATTTCTAGATTCCTTTCCGGGTTTGTGGGTCGATCATGTTTGGCGGATCTCAAGAGGGACTGAGGGGGGCCTCCGATGCTTCAAGATGGCCCCCAAGATAACTCAATATAGCCGAAGATGGCTCAATACAGCTTCCGAAATGCCTCCAGGAAGCCCCAAGAGGGCCAGATGACAGCTGCAGTCGCTCACTCTTCCTCATTTGAAAGATCTGCGGAAGGTGTTGCTGGAGCAAACCAAGTTGCTGCGGTTGCAAACGAACTTGTCGTGGCCGCACCAGAACTTCCAACCCCTTCCTCGGCCCCGTGTGGGGGGTGACGTTGGTGGCGCCGCCACAATGCTGGAAGGCTGCAGGCGCCCGCCGTGTGCCAACCCCCTCCCCGGCCCCGTGGGGGGGAGCCTTGAGCCGCAGCTCCAGGGCCGACCCCCACCCAGCCCCGTGGGGCCGTCCGCGATGGCCAGGCCATGCAAACCTTTGAAGGGGGTTCAACTCGGATCCTGGTACATAACAAGACTTCAGAAATCAGTGGGGGCCAGGCTGAGGGTCGCTGCGAACAACAACAACACCACCAACAACAACAACACCAACCACAACAGCAGCAGCAGCAACAACCATTTTTTGACTGTTCGCGCTTACTGGCACGCGTGTCTTGCATTCCGTATATCCCAACCCTCGGTACCCGCCCACTTAGTCTTCGATTGCGCTCCTTTCGGGGGGGGGGAATCTCTTCCTCGCCGGCCACTGACTGAAGTGCGAAGAAATCTCGAGCGAGAGCGCCGTTCCTGAGTTCGGGGGCCTCTCGGGCAAAGGGCTCTCGGAATACCTATGGACAAATATCGAACGAGAGCCCTTGTCGCCGCGTCCGGGCCTCCACCAACTTGCCGGAAATACGGGAACAGTCTCGAGCGAGAGCGCCGTTCCTGAGTTCGGGGACCTTCTTGGCCAGGGGCTCTCGGTGTACATCGTGAGGGAGTATCGAGCAGGAACCCTTGTCGTCGTGGCTGGGTCTCCGCCGAGCGGGAGCCGTTGTTGTCGTAGCTGGGCCTCCAAGGGCCCACATTTTAGGGTCAAGGCAACGCTCGAGCGGGAGCCTCGTTTTCATGGAAAATATAGCTGGCGTCGAGGCGAGAGCGAATGGAACCGTTTCCGGAGATCAGCAATAATTATTCTGTAGAAATGAATGTTCAACAACCATCGGCACCGCGGAACCCCACTTCAGCCACACGCACAGGGACAGCGAATGACCGTTCGGCCCCCTCGCTCTGACGATTACTACTCTAGCGGTTTGGGGACGTCGCGGAAGTCTTCTTTGGGTCGTCATCGGGCATCTGGGAAGGTTCTCAGACCACTCGGCAAGAATATCGAGGGGAGTCCATCTGTAAAACTGCGGAACAATGACCAGCAATGAGATTTGCAGCCCTGTGCAGCCCAGAGCAGCCAACTCCAAGAAGGGAACAGCGGATTCACATCTTCCCTGTTGAGGGGCAACGATAAGGGGGAATAGGCATAGGGGCAGAACATCGACCTGGAATCGGCCATACATCGCCGATAGATCGGCGATAGGCCCTCGATGAGTGACTCCGACCGTTTCTGGGCAGGTTGGGGCTATCGGGCCGGCGATCATTGAGCGACGGGGGGTCGATGCATCCCCCCTGCGCCTATCCCCCCCGATCGTTGCCCCTGACCTGTGGTTCCCGTGCAGCTCTCCCGCGACCCCCCCGCTCCTGTCCAGCCCGCGCTCCGCGCAGCTGGCCACCACGTGGCTGAGCACGAGCAGCTCCTTCTCCTGCCCGGCGCGAGGCGCGCTCGACGGGGGTGCCGTGCGAGAGCTCCCGGGGCAGCAGGCGGCGGCAGAGGGCCACCCTTCCACCTCCTACGGGCCCTCAGGCGGGTGGTAATGGGGGTGAACTACATGGGAGGTGAGGAAAAAAGCCGTAGCTGGGCCCCTTATAAGGCCCCCTTTTAACCCCTGCTGGCTCAAACTGAAGGGCCCTTGTAGGGCACTTTTCTTCCCCCCCCCATTTGGGCCACCCCCCATTACCACCCGCCAGAGGCTCAACGCGATCAGCGTCAAGTTCCACCATCTGGAAAGTTGGAGACGGAACGGACCCTCCCTGTGGGCCTCACACCTGCAACTAAATCGAAGAGGAGCGACAAGAAAATGCACGGAATAATCTGGGGAGCATCAAGCCCCTTCCGAGCACAGAGCGGGCCTTGTGCCAAACAATGGACCGTATCCACGCAGATCCGGCCGACGCTAGACCTTCTCCGTCACGAGACAACCGCGAAGGCGGATCTCTGGATATTTCGGCCCGTTGACGCAAATTGCGCTGGGGAGCCGCTGAAGAAGAGCTGGGGGTCATGAGGAGCACGAGGGGGGAAGAGGAGCACAACGAGGACGAGGAAGGACCATGAGGAAGAGCAGGGGCAGGAGGACGACGAGCAGGCGGAGACGCGAGAGGACGGCAGGGATCCGCAGCAGGAGGAGCGGGAGGAAGGACCAGCGGAAGGACCCGCAACACTAGCGACAGCGGAAGGCATAACGGCGATGCGCGCGCACGGGAGTCCTCTGCCCGCCCCAGCTTGCTGCGCGGCCACTCGGCCTCCTCGGGCAGCGCGTCCTGCGCGGGAGCCGGAAGACTTGAAAAGCCTGGATGGCTCACGCCTGCGCCGCGGAACCAGGAAGACCCCCCAGAGATGGGATGGAGGGAGGGACGAGAGACAGAGAGAGCACCCCCTGACGGGCGCGACAACGCCGTGGATCTCCAATTTGAAGCGTGCTGAGCCGTATTGCTGTATCTTTGGTGTGTTGCAAGTGTGAAGCATACTACGGCCAGGCAGAGTGGCCGGCCACCGCGGCCAAGTATGATCTTCCGAAAGACCGCAAGGATGCGTACTATCATGGGCGAAACGTCAACATTGTCATCATGGTTTCGCGTTTGATCTGCCGGGCGTGCCTCGCCATAGAGTGCGAACGTGTACGAATATAAAATTGTGTTCGAGGACTCGAGGAGCTATGTCATTAATGGCGACACTGTGGTTGTGAAGTTCCTAGATGCGTTCATCCACATGTCCTTCGAAACCGTCGCCCACCCGAACGACTCATGGATATTTTTTGGCATTGATCAAAACAGTGCATCCCACCGTTCGACGGTATTCTCATGCTCGCGATTCGCCGCAGAGCATTGGCAGACCTGGCATGCCGGCGAAGTAGATGGAGACAGCTTCGATTGACAGGCTGGCACATGCGGTACGCTGATGCATTGGACATCTTGCATATGCTACGAGAGAACTACCCAGCCCAAGTTACTTCTCGTATTTAGAATTGCCAAAAGACATCTGGGGAAGACACGTGCGTCGCCTACGATTTGTTGTGGGTGCTCCGGAGGCACAGTCCGGAGAATGGTCAACAGCAGGACTTCATGACTTCATGCATCGTCCTGTGACGACGGCGACGGCGATCATGTCTGATCTGATTGCAAGGGCGAATAGGCTGTTCATCCCAGGTGGCATTTTTCTTGAGCCGCCCTGGAGAGGGTCTTAACATGTTCTGCGAGTCTGGGTCGGGCGTCTGGTGAGTTGCGTGCCCCACATTCGCATATCCCCTCCTTCAGTTATATGTTGCAGCTGTCTTGTTCGAGGGATGGTCACACGACCACGGGAGCATCGCGCGCAAACGGCGCTTATGCACGGTGCCCAGGCCGCTTCCTCGACGTAGCAACCTCTTTGCAAGAGGGAGGTGACGGGAAGAAAGAGCAGGGGGAGGAGGAGGAGCTGAGGAGAAGGAGACGCGAGGACCCTCTTCAAAATCAAGACCCAACACCACGGGATGGGAACACGTAAGGTTAGGTCGGGCGTGTCCCCCTACAGGCGGATTTTCGACGAAGACTCAACACAAAAATCAATGAATACTCCCAAATGATTAAAAATTGTGGAAAAATCGTTACCCTAATATTTTTCTAACCACTTCCTGGAAAAAGGCATAGTCCCAGGTCTTTCTTTTAGTAGGTAAACCCTGTGCCGGGCCTTACTTGCGCAGCGCCGGCGAATATCTTTCGCATTCAATAGGGAGGTCGCGCAGCGCCAGCGAATTAAAATTTGAGGACGTCCCGAGCGAAACGCTGTTTTTTTTTTGGGGGGGGTGTTTCTTTTGTTTAGAAAAAATCCAATACATAAAGCACAAGGTGCGGGACACCTTTTAGTTCAGGGGCACGAACCCGTCTGTTTTCACGTGTGCTCCCATAGATTGGCCCTCTCCAGGGGCACGAATCCGTATGTTTTCACATCTGTTCCTATGGATGGGCCCTCTCCAGGAGGCCCCACGCGGGCCCAGGTCACCCAAGGGGGGGTGTCTAACATTGTAGTCCCGAGCTGGAAACATGTGTTTTTACGTGTTCAGGCCACCCAGTGGGGTATCTAACCTGATTGTCCCGAACCAGATGTTTTTACTTGTCCAGGCCGCCCAGGGGGGTATCTAACATGGCGTCGGGCCTTATCAGGCAACGTACCGAAAACATATCCCAATACAGAAAAATAATGTTTCCCTGCTCTGGGCAAGGGGTGGCGCTTTGGGGGCCTCTCCAGGGAAGACATTGCGAGGATGTCTCGAGCGGGAGCGCGAATTCAGCATATCCAGGCCACGCAGGGGGGTATCTAACATGGTTGTCCCGAGCTGGAGCGACGCGTTGTTACGTGTCGAGGCCACCCAAAAGGGGGTATTTAACATGACTGTCCCGAACAAGGACCACGTCTTTCAACGTGTCCAGGCCACTCATGGGTGTATTTAACATGGTCGTCCCGAACTGGCACCACGTGTTTTTACGTGTCCAGGCCACCCAATGACTGGAACCACGTGATTTTACGTGTCCAGGTCGCCCAGGGGGGTATCTAACATGGCGTCGGGCCCAACGCCGAATGATTCGAGCGAACCGCTTGTCTTGTGTTATAGCCTGTTCCTCTCTTGGAGACCCAGATTCAGAGGATGTCTCAGGTCAAATGCTTGTTTTACGTATGTTCTGTGTTGGGATCTGTTTTCGGGGAGCGCTTATCGCTTTCCCCCGCCCCTAGGATGCCCCAGGAGAGCCCGAGAAGCGTGAACACACATGGTTCTTAACGCCCCAGGGCAGGACAAGCGTGAAAACACATGGGTGCCTAACGCCCCAGGGCAGGAGAAGTGCGAAAACACGTGGCCCCTACCGCCCCATAGCGGGAGAACCCAGGGCGGGAGAAGCATGAAAAAACATGGCTCCTAACGACCCAGGGCGGGAGACGTGCAAAAACACGTGGTTCCTAACGCCCCAGAGCGGGAGAAGCGTGAACGCGCGTCCCCTGGCACGTCCCGTGGCACGCCCATTGCCACGTTCTGTGGTGCGTCCCCTTGGCACGTCCCGCGGTGCGTCCCCATGGCACGTCTCCTGACACGTCGCCTGGCGCGTCACTTGGGACGTTCTGCGGCGCGCCCTGTTGGCATGTCCCCCTGTCGAGTAGCTCTGGGGCACCTACTATGTGCAGATCAGTTCGGTCAGGACTCGGATGAAAAGGAGGACTCGATCCACAACACTATACAGCACAATCGCGGCATGGCACATCACAGTTCAGCACGGCGCAACACAGCACAGCCCTCGGCACGGTACATCAAACTCGATACACGCAACATTGCAACTTGGCACGTTCCGTGGTGCGTCCCGTGGCGAGTCCCCCTGGCACGTCGCGCGGCGCGTCCCCTGGCACGTCCCGTGGCACGTACTGTGGCGCGTCCCCTTGGCACGTCCCGCGGTGCGCCCCCATGGCACGTCCCATGGCACGTCGCCTGGCACGTCGCCTGGCGCGTCCCTTGGGACGTTCTGCGGCGCGTCCTCTTGGCATGTCCCTCTGCCGAGTAGCTCTGGGGCAGCTATGATGTACTCAGGCAGCTCGAGCTTAAGATCCAGATCAGTTCGGTCAGGACTCGGATGCTAAGGAGGACTCGATCCACAACGCTATGAAGCACGATCGCGGCATGGCACATCGCAATTCAGCACGGCGCAGCACAGCACAGCCCTCGGCTTGCCCGTTGCCCAATCAGGTGTATTTGAAAGGTTGCCATGCGTTACATTTCCATGTATTCCTTTCCGGGTTCATGGGTCGATCATGTTTTGAATATTCTTCCTGTAGAGGGACGTGCTCGCCTTAAACGTAAGGATGAATCCCGCAGCCATGTCTTGTTCGCAGCGCGAGAATGAGCGAGGGTGGGGCTCAACGGGGGGGGGGGGGGCACGTCCCTCTTTAAAATCGGCGATGCGTCGCGGATAGTTCGGCGATGTGCCCCCGAACGGGCGTTGGCAGAACTGGGTCCAGTGGGACCTGGTGTAGTGATGTGTACTCTGGGGGACGCCCCCCCCCGCCCCGTTCCAAAAAAGACCAGCTACGGCAGACCTGGTTCAGCGATTCTGGCCAATTCAAGGGCTCTGGGGCCCTCCCACTAACCGGGTCCCCTTACCTGGGGTCCTGGCTATACCCGACCTGATAGCGAATCGGCGCACTCGTGCGCGCGGTGGGCTATCGGGCCCTATCGGCGATGGATGGCCGATTGTGGGTCGATGCGCCCTCCCCCCAGCCTACCCCCCTAACGTTGCCCATGGGTTTTGGGGTCATGACTCAGCTCTCCAGGGGCCGTTTGCGACGATCAGGGCACCCCCAGAACGCTCTCGGTGCTGCGCAGCCGCTGGAGAGCGCCCCGAGGCTGGAAAACCGTCGAGAGCCGACGAACACTTCCGCAAAGCCAACGCGCCTGGCGAAACACGCAGCATTTGTGAGCACCGTCGTTGTGAGTATCGCCTTCGGTGGATCTTCTTCTGGGGTCACGAAGCGTGTGAAGGGTGTATCACCATGGGGCGGGGGGTAATAGGCAGAGCCCTTAGGTCGGGCATGTCCCCCTACAGGCAGATCTTGGGCGAAAAACAAAACATACAAACAAAGGTAATGAAACATGCTCATACATTGTAAGCAGATCGTCCCCCGACTATTCCTTTGGCAATGTTTGAATACTCCTCCTGTAGGGGCATACGCCCGACATAAGTCAAGCAGCGTGTCAGGGGTGTGCCGCAGTAGGGTTAGGTCGGGCGTGTCCCCCGAAAGGGGGATTTTCGACGAAAAATTGAAAATACTGAACACATACTTCCACAGTGTCAAAAATTCCACCCCAAAATCGTCCCCCGACTATTTTTTGGACTATTTTTGCATACTCCTCCTGTAGATTGAGCAGAGACCGACCGTCCCTGCATTCTTATAGTCCTACCACGAAGTGTTCTTAAAATCCAAAAATGTTCCAGGAACGAACACAATGTTCTTAGAACATAAACCCGATGTGACAAAGCAAGACAGACTCAGCCAGAAATGTTCTAAGAACATTTCGTGGAAACCACAAAAGGTTCTTAGAACATTGCCTGGTAGGGCTACAGACGAGCCAGGACGCTTCGCCACTGCTTGAGTAGAGAGACAAGCCCGACTTCAGAAGAGGGCGGGGCCGCCACGCGAGCGCTGCCACCGGGCCCCCGTGCGCCGCCGTCGCGTGCCCATCTCTTTCCCGCCTCCTTCGGCACTCCTCGCCCCCCGACTATATATATATATATATATATATATACTCTGTTGTTTACCACTTTGGGAATATTCCTCCTGTATAGGGACAGGCCCGACGTAAGGCGACGTGCCAGAGCGGAGTCCCCGCGACGCGCGCGGGTCGCCCTGGAGGAGTCCGGGCGACGCGCACCACTGGGGCCTTGGGCGGAGCTTCGGCTGGGGCCACGTGAGCGGTGTGCCGAAATGGCCGGCGCGGGCGTATGCGGACCTTGCCACGGCGGCCCTGGGACGTGAGGGGTGCGCCGAAAAGGGCGGCGCGGACGCCTGCGAGCGGCACCATTGAGGCCTTCGGTGGGTCCCCTATGGGGCCACGAAGCGTGTGAGGGGTGTGTCGACATGGGCGGCGCGGACGCATGCGAACGGCACCACTGGGGCCTTACGTGGAATCCCCTGTGGGGCCACAAAACGTGTGAGGGTGTGCCGAAATCAGCCGCGAGGACGCATGCGAACTGGCAACATTGAGGCCTTGGGTGGGTTCCCTATGGGGCCACGAAGCGTGTGAGGGGTGTGTCGACATGGGCGGCGCGGACGCATGCGAACGGCACCACTGAGGCCTTGGGTGGAGCTCCCTGTGGGGCCACGACACGTGTGAGGGGCGTGAAAGAATGGTGGACACACGGAGAGCAGAGGCAGGGATGGGATGAGGGAGGAAGGAGGGAGGGGGAGGAGGAGGAGCAGGAGGAGGAGGAGGAGGAGGAGGGAGACATGGAGCGCTGTCGCTTCAAAACGAAGACCCAACACCAGAGGATGGTTGGGAAAAAACCTGAGCCTGTCCCCAGCTCACGTGGCCCTCTGAGAAGCGAACAGGGGGCCCACAAAACCTATGGTGATGGACCGCCTGGTGAATCCCCGACGACCTCATTGGCACTTCGGAGGCCCTGGCCGAAGCCCAACACCGTGCGGTGATCCCGAATCTCCACTGACTCACCACGCGGCGCGGTCACCACACCGTTTGGGGGCCCCCGATCTTCCTGGCTGCCGTTGCCCCTGAGAAGCGGACGCAGACATGCGACGTCCTGATATTATCAGGACGGGGACGTGGGGAGGCGGGCTGCTCCGGCGAGCGGTGTGGATGACGCGCTGGAGGGGGTCCTTCACCGCGCGCAACCCGCGGGCCAGTCCGACCCACGAGCCGGCCGCGGCGCAGACCAGCAGCTGCGGCGCGCTCTCCTCGGCGCCGCTGGGCGCCGCTGGCCAATCCCACATCAAACAACCGACGACCACGACGACGACGACCACGACGAAATAGACGGCGGCAACGAACAATACGACGACGACAGCCGACGACCGACGATCACGACGATCGACGATGAGGACGACCATAACGACCGAGGGCGATGACAACGACCGAGGACGACGACGACACCGAGGACGACGACGATCGACGACGACGATCGAGTACGACCGAATACGACCGACCGACGTTGACTTGGATGAGAGCCGCGTCATGATTAATGCCTAACGCCCTGCACAACATGTACGTCTAACGCTCGTGAACCTACCGCTGAGACTGTCCACTGTTCTGTGCGCGGTGGCGGTAACGCACATAGCTTCGTGCTCATGTCCCTGTCCCCGATCGACGGCGACGACAAAACACGATCGACAACGAAGACGAAGGCAATTGCGGCGCGTTCTCCTCGGCGCCCAGGGCGCCGCCGGCCGATCCCTGGGTCCCCAAATTTCGGGCGATGTGTCGAGAATCGAGGCTCGAATATCCGAGGGTTTAAACTTTTCGTGCGCGCGTTTGTTCCTTCTTGAGCTTCGGGGGGGCCTTCTCGTTGCCACGGCTGGATTCGCATCGAAGTTCTGGCCAGCGAACACATCAGAGAAGGTGCGATGGCGGATGCTTGAAGGGATGGCACGGGTGAGCCAACTCAGGGAAGAGGGTCCAAACTTCGGGAGAATCATAGCTCCTGTTCAATCCTGCTCTGTTCCTTCGATTTCTGCCTGGGGGGGTCCTGTCCTTCGGTCCCCGGGACTTTCACATATAGAGCCAGGACAGACATCTACCTCGGAGGAAGGGGCCACGCAGGAGGGACCAGGCGAGCAGGAGGAGGAAGAGGAGGAGGAGGAGGAGGAGGAGGAGGAGGAGGAGGAGGAGGAGGAGGGGGAGGAGGAGGAGGAGGAGGAGGGAGGAGGAGGAGGAGGAGGCAGGAGAGACCCCTGGGGCCGGCGAGCGGAAACAAATCCATCCGTCGGAGGTCTGGTGCGGCCGTGGTGGCATCGGGCCCTGGCTCTCCCAGGGCGGGCCGTGCACGTGCCCGCAGAGACGGACGATACTCGTCCTGGCAGGAGGAGGAGGAGGAGGAGGAGGAGGAGGAGGAGGAGGAGGAGGAGGGAGAGATTTGGACGCCCGAACTGGGTACGGAAAGAATGGGTACAATGCCCAACAGCAAATGTTGTCCCAAACCAACAGCGGCCGCTGTTGGGCGGGCGGCCTCCTGTCTCGAATGTACACAGGCCGCGGCGGCGTGGACAGCGAATCCTGTTCAGAGTGAACAAGAACTGCTGTTGGGCATCGTACCCATTCTTTCGGTACCCATTTCGGGCGTCCAGAAGAGATCCCTGGTAATGCCTCTGGTCGGGGCCCACCCGGCCCGGGCGGACAATGTGGTGACCTGTCGTTTTTTTACCTAACAGCGAAGACTGATAGGTTTCTAATGGGCTAAAAAGAAAGCAGCAGATGACTCCACAGGGGGGTCTGGGCGGGTGCCGGACAGGGTGCCGCAGAAGTCGTTTTAAGCCAACAGTCACACACTTCGTGCTCTTCGACCTCCCAGAACTCCATTCCCGGGCCACATTCTGAATGCCCGGAGCCAACTGTAGGCCACTTCGTGCTCTTCGACTTCCCATAACTCCATTCCCGGGCCACATTTTGAATCTGTAGGCCACTTCGAGCCAGAACTCCAACTCCACTTCTTGAGTTCTGTAACTCCCATTCCCGGGCCACATTTTGAATCGCCAGGCTTTTTCGACTTCGAGTCCCAGAACTCCATTCCCGGGCCACATTTTGAATGCCCGGAGCCAACTGTAGGCCAAGGAGGCCACTTCTAAGGCCTGAGGCTGAGGCCAGGCTGAGGCTGAAGGCTGAGGCAGGCTGAGGCCAAGGCTGAGGCTGAGGCAGGCTGCTGCTGAGGCAGGCTGAGGCTGAGGCTGAGGCAGGCTGAGGCTGAGGCAGGCTGAGGCTGAGGCTGAGGCTGAGGCTGAGGCTGAGGCTGAGGCTGAGGCAGGCTGAGGCAGGCTGAGGCTGAGGCTGATGCAGGCTGAGAGGCTGAGGCTGAGGCTGAGGCTGGCTGAGGCTGGCTGAGGCAGGCTGAGGCTGAGGCTGAGGCAGGCTGAGGCTGAGGCAGGCTGAGGCTGAGGCTGAGGCTGATGCAGGCTGAGGCTGAGGCTGGCTGAGGCTGAGGCCGAGGCTGAAGGCAGACTGAGGCTGAGGCTGAAGCAGGCTGAGGCTGAGGCCGAGGCAGGCTGATGCTGAGGCTGAGGCAGGCTGATGCTGAGGAAAAGGTTGAGGCTGAGGCTGAGGCAGGCTGAGGCTGAGGCTGAGGCAGGCTGAGGCTGAGGCTGAGGCAGGCTGATGCGGAGGCAGGCTGAGGCTGAGGCTGAGGCTGAGGCTGAGGCTGATGCAGGCTGAGGCTGAGGCAGGCTGAGGCTGAGGCCGAGGCTGAAGGCAGGCTGTGGCTGAGGCTGAGGCTGAAGCAGGCTGAGGCTGAGGCTGAGGCAGGCTGAGGCTGAGGCTGAGGCAGGCTGATACTGAGGCAGGCTGAGGCTGAGGCTGTGACTGTGACTGCCGTTGCCACTGCGACTGTCATCGCGAATGCGACTGCGACTGCGAGAACAGGAGAATTCTACAACTGGATTCTCATCTGGATCTTAAGGGGAATGTTTCCATATATGCTTCTACACATCGCTGTTAGGTTGCTTTGCCGGGATAATTGAAGATCAAGAGATTTGGCAACTCGTGCTGAGAATATCCAGATTTCTATTCTCTGCAGTCGATCCTGACGCGTTTCAGGATGAAATCCTCATACATCGCCGCTGGCTGCAACCCACCGGCGCACCGGAGGACGTGTGGGGATGCAGAAAGATGCCGATACCGCCACTCTCTGGACCTCTCCTGGAGTGCATTCTGAACCCAGCTTTCCACCCGAGTCAAGCCTAGAAGACGAACAAAAACACATAAACATACAATCTTGGCGCTCCGCGCGGATTTCTTGGATCCGCGCTGGACCCCCCTCCCTGGCGCGCGGAGCTCGGGGGGCCCAGGCGCGGATCCAAGAAACCCATGCGGAGCGCCACAAGTTTATGCTCATGTGGCTCGTTCTTCTTCGAAGGCCGTGGCGGCGAGGGACGGGTCGCGGTATCGGCATCCTGTCCTCCTCCAAGAAAATGTGTGGGCGCCCGAGACTCATCGCCCCCCCCGGCGCTGCGGGGTCCTCCCGCGACTGCAGCCACGACCACCCGCACCCGGCCGCGAAGCCCGCCGCCGACGGCGCCGCCCGCCGCGCGGCGGCCGCGCCGCGGGAGAGCGTCGGAATCGGGAGCATCGCCGCTCGCCGCTGCTGCGAAGGGGGGGGAGGAAAGACTCCGAGGGGGAGGGCAGGGTGCCTCCTCTTCCAGCAGCCTTTCGAGTGGCTTCTCCAAGAAGCACCCTGCCTCCCTCGGATCCCGCAGCCACAAGGGGAGCCCGGCCTGCCTGGGAGGTCGGGGAGGGGCGGGCAAGCGAGGCAGCAGCCGCGCCGCGCGCCGCCGCGTGCTGGCGCGCGCAGCTCGTGCGCGCGGTAACTGCTCCTGCTGCTGCTGCTGCTGCTGCTGCTGCTGCTGCTGCTGCTGCTGCTGCTGCTGCTTGCTGCTCGCCCTCCAGGGGGGGGGGCACCACACCCCATCCCTTCTGAGCGAAGGATAACGATAGGGGGACTGCCTCAGGGGGCAACCATCGAGCTGGAATCGGCGAAGCATTGCCGAGATACATCTGCGATGTGCCTCCGACAGCAGAACCCCGCGCTCCTTCGACAGGGGTGGGCTTTTGAGCCCCTTTCGGCAATCAGTGGGCGATCGGGGGTCGATGCATCCCCGCCAGAGCCTCTCCCCTCCTAGCGTTGCCCCTGACTGAGCCCGTTTTCGGCACGTAAGCCTGGCTGCTGACACAGCGCAGATCTTTCAAACTTCAGCGATCATCTGTACAGATCGTTCGATGTTGGCGTCGCTCGTCGGGCTGCCGACCGGACCTGGGACTGAGCCCATTCGGGAGCCGAGCGGACCAGATTCCCACTACACCGGTAGAGCTGCCCATTTGACGGGCTCGGAAGGGAACCCTCGGTTAGGGAGGTTCCGAATCGAGCAATCGAAGCTCTTGGATGGCTTAGGCCAATGCAGGGGTGGTGACATGTGGGGAGCCTTTCTCTTCCCATCTGGAACACAATGGCATTACCCCCAGCAACGCACCCTAATGCCAGCAAAGGCGAAGAGGCGGGTAGAAGGGTAGGACGTCGGCTACAAGGGACACGGGTGAGGGCACGGTAGTGATGGTGATGATGATGACGATGATGATGATGATGATGATGATGATGATGATGATGATGATGATGATGATGATGATGATGATGATGATGATGATGATGATGATGATGATGATGATGATGATGATGATGATGATGATGATGATGATGATGATGATGATGATGATGATGATGATGATGATGATGATGATGATGATGATGATGATGATGCTGATGATGATGATGATGCTGTCGCAAGCGTCTATAGACCAAATATGTAGCCGGCAATCCTTGAATACATCGTGAGGCAGTCTCAGTCGTAACGGCTGCCGGACCAGGCGTCCTCGGGCTCCCCGTGGCCCCCTGCGCGACTCCTCTGTCTGTCCGTTTTGCTGCGATTCGAAGCCTCTAGCGAAACGGATTTGGGGAGCACTAGAAATCCAGCGTGGGAGGTCTGGGGCCGATCGCCAAGGAGAGGCCAGGGCCTGCACGGTTTGCCCCGGGGCCGTAGGCGACCCGAGGAGCAGGAGGAGGAGGAGGAGGAGGAGGAGGAGGAGGAGGAGGAGGAGGAGGAGGAGGAGGAGGAGGGGGAGGGGGAGGAGGAGAAGGTAGGAAGAGGAGAAGGAGGGAGGAGGTGGAGGAGGAGAGGAGGGGGGGAGGAGGAGGAGGAGGAGGAGAGGGAGGAGGGACGAGGAGGAAAGCCCTTCGGAGAAACCCTCCACCAAGGCTCCTCAGCCAGCTATCAGGCTGTCGTGGCGGGATGCCAAGGCCCCTCCCGACACGGGGGAGGTCGAGGCACTGCCGAGCCCTCCCAATCCCACGAAACCTCTGCAGCACCCCTCCTCGTCATGGCTGCTGGCGCTGCTGCTGAGGCAGGAGAAGACAGAAGAGCGCCGCTCCTCCGAGGAGAAGGAGGAGAAGCACGAGAAGGATCAACATACGTATTCAAATGTGCGTGCGCGAGGGAATGAGCGCTGGGCGTCGGCGGCTCGCGGAGCGGCGAGCGATGGGAATACGAAAGATGTGGGCCCCTTCCAGGCCCTGAATCTGGACGGAGCTGGCCTGTCCCCCGTCCCCGCCAAGGCGGGTGGCCGATTCCAGAACGCCTGAGCTCAAGACCGTTGGCGTCTCTCTTTTGCTTGCGCCGCCTTCTTTTGCGCCGCCTTCTTTTGACCTTGCGCCGGCGGAGCCGCCGCCGTTTGACGTTCAGTCCCCCTACAGTCTGATTTTGGACGAAAAATGAAAAATAGTCATGCGATCAGAAAAAATGCTCAAAAATGCTCCCCCGACCATTTTTGTTACTACTTTTGAACATTCCCCCTGTAGAGGGACAGGCCCAACATAATTTGACATCCAACCAACCCTCCGCCCAGGGCGGGGCGCGCCGAATGCCGTGCCCTTTCCGAAGCGCGCTGGGCGGGATGCCGGGATGCCGATGGGGGGAATAGCCCTGGCCAGACGGAGACGGATGGGGGCGCCGAGCGGGAGACGAGCCAGGGGCGCCAGCGTGCGGCTTCCGTGCCGCAGAGACCTCTGGGTGCAAGCATTGCAGCCGAACGGGCCACCGCGCGCGACGCCCCCACCCCTCCCCGGCCGTGGCCGCTCAGCTGCTCCTGGTTGCCCCTCTGGCGTCTTCAGAGGTGCTTGGGCTGGCTGCCCTTCTGGCACCATGTCTGCGGCACTCGTGCTGCTGCTGGCTGTCCTCGTGCAGGAACCCTTGAGGCCGACGCCCTGGAACCGTGGGCGCCGCTTCGACTCACGCAGGCCGAACCCCCGAGGCCCAGAGACAGAATCCGAGTCTCCGACCGCTCGCCAGCTTCAGGTTTGGCCAAGGCGCCACTGGAGCAGGAGCCCCCGGAGGTCGGGGACGCGCTCACCGGGCTCAGCCACGTCGCGAACCTGTCTGGGCCCGCCACGAGGCGGCTCCCAAGCCCGGGGCAGCGCAGGGGCGGCAGGGGAGCGGGGGGGGGCGGGCTCGGCTCCACGCGGCTCTCAGACCAAGGCCAGCCGAAGGGGCTTGGCTGAGCGCTGGCCCCGGTCGACGTGGGCCCCCAAGGTCGGCCGAGCGCCTGCAAGGACCGGCCGCTGCGACTCCCATCTTTTTCCGCGGCACAGGATGGAGGTGAGGGAGGAGGAGGAGGAGGAGGAGGAGGAGAGGAGGAGGGAGGAGGAGGAGGAGGGAGGAGGAGGAGGAGGAGGAGGGGGAGGAGCGGGCCCGCCTCCCCTCATGCCTCTCGGCCCTGCCCGCCCTCGGCGAGGGTGTTCGCCCACGGGGGGGGCAATGAGCGCGCAGGGTGCAGGAGCGCGCGCCCTGCGCCGCCCCTCCTGGGCCCGCGGTGGCCCGCCTATGTTTTAGCATGGGGGCGGCGGGTCCTGAGGGAAACGGTTCCTGGGCCCGGGCCCCCCCCCTCCCCAGGACGAATAGGACGAATTTTCTGACGGCCCTGGGGCCCGTGGAGGGCCCCAGGGAGCCCGAGCACTGCAACAAACCTCGGGACCCGTTTGCCTCAGGATCCGTTTCCCCCCACGCCGATCACACGATTGCCCCCCTTGAGCAGGGACCGACCGTCCCGGCATTCCTATAGTCCCGCCGCGACATGTTACCCGTTGCGCCACTGCGCTACCCGTTGCCGCCCGCCCGCCCGGCCAGCCCCGCCCGCCCGCCGTCCTGGTGGCACGCGGCCTCGCGCTGGCAGGTCGGCGCTGCGCCCTCGGAGGGCCTCACGCCGCGCGGGCGCCCCCGCAGCCGGGGCTTTGGCGGCGCGCAGGAAGGGGGGCAGAGGGCGGGGGGGGAGGCTCCTTGGCAGGAGGCCGCTCCTCAGAAGGCCCAGGCCTGACATCTGTAGACAGGGCCCGCGCATTCTGAGAAGCAGGCGCGCTTCCCAGACCCCCGACGTCACGATTTTTTTCACGACGTCGACCCCCAGAGGTTTTGACCGACTCCCCGGGGCCAGTTTTTAAACGGCGGCATCGGAGCAAAGAACGAACTTTCACTGTGTGTGATGTGAAACTGATGGGTATCCCCACGTTGTACTGTCTGCCGTACTGCGCAACGCTGACGCCTTGCGCAGCACCGCAACAGCACGAAGATTCTTGTAATATTATGCAGTCGCCGCTGCAGTGCAGGGACTGCCTCTTGCCCTTCGGCCGAACGCTGCGCGCGGTGCTGCTAGCATGGAGCGGGCAGTCAAGCGTGCACGCGCGGGGGGGGACCCACCCAACCCCATTCCGTTAACCACGCCCTCCCCGAGGAGAGGGGAGGAAGAATGAAGCGATGCACGGAGCTGCTGGCATCTACAGGTTGGCGTCGAGTGGGCGGAGGCCACTCTGAATCGCACAAGCGGCGCGCCTCGAAATAATGAGCAGGATGCGAAGATTCGTCTGAGTGCGGCCGCATTCGGGGCGAGTCAACTGAGCGGGAGTAGTGAGAGGGAGGTTGGTAGAGACTACCTGCTATGAGGCGTCGTCGTCCAAACAAACAGTTGGCTGTGAGTGCTCACTATGCGTAAAGAAGCAGGAATCGCTACCGATGCCTAAGCTTTCCGATCAGGACGGTCTGGAAGTGGCTGGTCCAGCAGATGGAGTGTTTGCTGGAGTGGCTGGTCCAGCAGATCCAGAATCAAAGCATACAGCCGTGAACAGGTCCGCCTGACTGGTGCTATCCTCCGCCAGCTCATAGTCGTGCGTGATGTCGCGTCACAGCGCGTGGTCCACAACATCTCGTTTACCTCGTCGGTCGCTTTATAGTTCATGGTGTGCATGATGTTGGCAGACTCGGCGTTCTGTTGTGTCGTGACGAATGCGACGTAGTACACAGCTGTCGCCTCTGCCATGCCGTGCGCCATGGTGGTCGTTCCCGTCGCGCGTGTGCTGAGCCTCGCCCGGGGCGCACACGGAGCGTTCAGCCGATGCGTGTGCATGTCATCGCTGACGAGACGTCCCATGGTCACTGCGCGGCATGTGCGAGTGAAGGAGCGATGGGAGTGCGAGGCCGGCCCTTTCGAATGGGTTCGAGCCGTGGTGGCCTTCGGGACCGGTTTTTCATCCGGAATCGTTTTTGAACGGCCCCCAGGCCCGGGAACGGCCCTCCGAGGCCGAAAACTGCAGAAAACCGACCGCCGTGATTGCTAGAGGGGGTCTGGTTTCCAAGAAGCCGTCCCCACTTCCCCCTGCCCCCCCCCTCTTTGAGCAGGGACCGACCGTCCCGGCATTCCTACAGTCCTACCACGAAATCTTCTTAGAGCCCACAGATGTTCTAAGAACAAACGCGATGTTCTTAGAACATAACAAAAACCCGATGTGTTAAAACAAGACGCTCTCAACCAGAAATATTATTAAAACATTCCGTGCGAAGCTCAGAAGGTTCTTAGAACATTGCTTGCGAGGCCTCTGGGCACGCCAGGACGCTTCGCCACTGCTTGACCTCTGCGCGTGACCGAGGGGCACGGGCGGCGCAGGCCCGAGCGGAGCTGCGGGCCGGCACGGCTGGACCCCGTGGGCCAGGCGGCTGAGCAGCTCCGGGGTGCTCCCTGCCCCCCCTCCGCCGCTGGGCCAGACAGGGCGAGGACCCAGACCCCCTCGGGCAATGAGAAATCACGGCGGCAGGTCTTTCGCCATTCTCGGCCTCTGGGGGCCCTTGCCGGGCCTCGGGACCGTCAAAAATCGACTCAGGATGAAACACCGGTCCCGGGGAACAGGTCGAGACCTCTGGGGGTCGACGTGATGAAGAAATCATGACGTCGGGGGTCTGGGGATGAGGAACGGAAAGAGGTGGAGGGAAGGATGGGCAGAAGCAGAAGGAGGAGGAGGTTCCTTCATGCTCCGCGCCGAAGCGGACCTTCGATGAGGATCATGTGCTCCCTGCCCGTTACGCGAGTGGCTCGAGGGCATCGGGACGAGGGGAGGCGAGGCAGGTGAGCATCGCGTTGACGCACCCTCGCGGAGGGGAGGGACCCACCGAAAGGGGGTGGGGGGCCTTTGTTTTACCGCGACACTGTCAAGCCTGGTCAAAGCCACACGCCAGAGCCAGAGGAAAAAATCGCGCGCCCGCACCTGTGCAGGCTACAGGCAGGCAGGATCCTTCACCTCCTGCTCCACCTCCCTCTCCTCTTGCCCCTGCACTGTCCTCGGACTCCTGCTGCTGCTGCTCCTCCCTCTGCCTCCAGTCCCTCCTGCCTTTCCTCTTTCTCCTCGGCCATCTCCCTCCAAGGTCACCCATTCACCTTTCCCTCAAAGTCCTCCTCCCCCCCGCGCGCGCCCTTCCTCCCTCGCCAGCCCGACGCACGCGATGCCGAGAGTGGCTCCGACAGCTTGGGCAGTGGGGCTCCCGGCAGGCGCGGCCGGGCCCGCGCCGTCGCTCATCGGAGGCGGGCCCGAGGCCCGAGGGAAGCACGCCGGAGACGCCGGCATGCCCCTGTGAGGCCGCAGGCAGGCGTGCTGCGGCGGGGAGGGAAGAAAAATGGTGGGGGGCCCGAGGATAACGAGGGGGCTCCACTCCAACGAGTCCAACGTCGCGAAGCGCCAGCGGTCGTTCATTGCGGCGCTGATCCAGCGTTGATCCTCCGTTGTTCGCCCTCCTCCTTCTCCCCTTCCTCCCTCTCTCTGGCCTCTTTCTCCCTCCCTCCGCCCCGTCCTCCTCCTTCTCCTCTCTCGTCTTCACCATCATCATCGTCATCATCGTCATGATCGTCATCATCGTCATCATCATCATCAGCATTAGCAACATTTTCATCATCGTCGTCATCATCAGCAACATCTCCATCATCATCGTCGTCATCATCATAATTCATCACTATCACCGCTGCCACCACCGCAATCACCATCATCATAATCATCATCAGTATCGCCGCCACCACCACAACCACCATAGCAGCATCATGATCAGCATCCTCATCATCAGCAGCAGCATCATAACCATCACATTCACCATCACCATCACCATCCTCGTCCTCCTCTTCCTCTTCCTCCTGTTGCTCCTCCTCCCCCTCCTCCTCCTCCTCCTCCTCCTCCTCCTCCTCCTCCTCCTCCTCCTCCTCCTCCTCCTCCTCCCCCTCATTAACATCATCATCATCATCATCATCATCATCATCATCATCATCATCATCATCATCATCATCATCACCAGCATCATCATCATCAGCATCCCATCACGATCATCATCAGCAGCATCATCATCACCATCAGCATCGCCAACATCATCAACAGCATCAACATCGACATCATTATCATCATCAGCAGCATCATCCTCATCATCGCCACCATTATCAATCATCATCCTCATCGTTTTCATCAGCACCAACAGTTTCAGGACATTCATCATGATCATCACACACATCATCAACAACATCAGCGTCATCGTAATCACCATCACCATCACCAACATCATCTTCGTCAGCATCAACATCATCGCCATCATCAGCATCATCAGCATCATCATCACCATCACCAACATCATCTTCGTCAGCATCAACATCATCGCCATAATCAGCATCATCAGCATCATCATCACTATCATCATCAACAATAGCATATTCATCACCATTTCCATCTGCAGCTGCATCTCCATCCACACCTGAAACGCCACCATCATGTTCATCTTCATCTCCTTCATCATCAGCAACAACAACAGAGTCCGCAGCGAGCATATTCAACATAGTGCAGCGGCTTCCCGCATCATTGCTCGGGTCCAAGAGTGCCCCAAAATTGGATCGGTCAAATCTGTGGTGCAAGCAAATCAGGGGCGAGCAAGCGGCAAACATAAAACCAAAAACATCCACTGGCTGCCGGCCAGGTAAACGTCACCAGAACAGCTGACTAGCACTTCAACCCAGCAGAAGGGAGACAGGGATGAGCTCCTCAAGGACATCATTATAGACGAGGGCGCAAGACGGGTCAAGAGGGCCCCAGGAGGCCCCGATGACGATCCAAGAGGTCCTCGAATCGCCGAACGATCGCACCAAAACCCCCAAGATGGCCCCAAGATGGCCAAAGAGGCCTGCGAGACGCCTCAAACGCCTTCCCAACAGGGCCCCGACAGGCCAACATCACTGATTTGCAGTCGGTAATTGAATGAGTTCGGCCTTCTCGCCTGTTCAAGCTCCCGACGCTCCAAGACGGCCCAAGAGGCCCCCAGGAACGCCCCAAGACAGCCCAAGAGGCCCCCAGGAGGGCCCCAAGACGGCCAAAGAGGTGCCCAAGTTGGCCCCAAGGGGGCCCCAAGACGGCCCGAAAGGGCCCAAAGACAGCCCCAAGAAGGGTCGAAGAGAGGGAACAGAGACCAGAAATCCAAGTCTTCCGCCCCATGAAGCCCCGAGAAACCCCCGGGAAGCACAAGAGAAACCCATGAGGCTCCGAAGACTCCTCCCGAGAAGTCCCACAGCGGCCCCCAAGAGGCCTCACCACAGCCCCTGAGAGGCCTCCGAGAGGCCTCCCGCGACATCCCAACGAACATCCTAGAGGCCTATGACTCACAACCCAGGCACGGTGGCGGGATGTGCCGCAGGCCATTAGATATCCGCCACCGTGCCTCTGGGCACGGAGTGGGCGTGTCCTCAGGTCCTTCGCCTAATCCCTGGAGCACGAGTCCTCAGTCCCGAGGAATATTGAAGGGACCCTGGCACAAAATCCCAAAACCTCTTGGGGCTTCCCGCGTGCCCGTCGGGGTTCCCGACATCTTGTCGCATGACTTGTTCGAACCAAGAGAGACTCCGGACGGGCCAAGAGTGCCCCAAGAGGCCCCCAAGACAGTTCAAGATGGCCCCGAGACGCCCAATGCTCGTTCCAAGACGTCCAAGATGGTCCCAAGACGGCCCAAAAGGCCGCCAAGACGGCTCAAGAGAGCCCCGAGAAGCCAAAATCACTGATTTGCCGTAAGTGTTTGGATGATTTTGGCCTTCTCGCCTTTTCGGCTTCTCGACGCTCCAAGACGGCCTAAGAGGCCAGACCGCCTTAAGAGGCCCCACCAAGGCCCCCAAAACAGCCCAAGAGGGCCCCAAGACGGCCCAAGAGGTGCCCAGGAGGGCCCCAAGACCGCTCCCAAAGGGACCCAAGAGAGGGAACAGGAGCCGAAAATCCGAGCCTTCCGCTCCAAGAGGCCTCCAGGAGGCTCCAAGAGGCGCCCAGGAGGCCCTCAAGAGGCCTCAAGAGGCCCCAAAGAGGCCTCAAGAGGCCCCCAAGAGGTCCACAAGAGGCCCCAAGAGGCCCCAAAACAGCCCCCAAGAGGCATCACAGCTGCCTCCAAGAGGCCCCCGAGGGGCCTCCCACGAGATCCCAACGAACATCCAATAGGCTTCATACCCACAACCCAGGTGCAGTGGCAGGATGGGCCGAAGGCCACTAGATATCCGCCGCCCCCTGCTTGCAGGGGTGCACGGCGTGCTGGATGAGCTGTCAGATTTTGGTTTTGGTTCTTTTTCTAAAAGAACTCCCCAGTGGGCTTCGGCCCGTCCCGCCGGCCACCCGGAAAGGATGCCCAGGAGCTCAATTCCCCAATTTCCTGCCCCAGACGGTTCCAAGATGGCCTCCAAGATGCCTCTAAGACGGCCAGGATGGTCTCTAAGACGGCTAAGATGGCTCCAAGATGCCTCCAAGACGGCCCAAGATGCCCTCCAAGACGGCCAAGATGGCCCCAAGATGCCTCCAAGATGGCCCAAGAGGCCTCCAAGACGTTCTCCAGGAGAGCCCGAAGAGGCCAAAATCATTGGTTTTCCTTAGGTTTTTGAAGGTTTTTTGCGTTTTCTTCTTTTCGGCCTTCCGACGGCCCAAGAGGCCCCCAAGATCGCCCAAGAGGCCTCCAAGAAGGCCCTATGACGGCCCAAGGGCCCCCCAAGACGGCCCCAAGAGCGCCCCAAGACGGCCCAAGAGGCCTCCAAGACGCCCAACATGGCCTCCAAGACGGCCCTGAAGCGCCCCAAGAGGGCCCCAAGACGGCCCAGAGAGGCCCCCAAGACGGCTCCAGACGGCGTCAGACGGACCAGGAACGCCCTAAGACGGCCAAAGAGACCCCCAGGAAGCCCCCAAAGGCCCCCAAGAGGCCCAAGGAGGCCCCCAAGATGCCTCCAAGAGGCCTCGAAGAGGCCCCCAAGAAGCCCCCAACAGACCCCAAGGGTGCCCCAAGAGACTCCTAACAACCCTCATCCTCCTACTCTA